TTGATGTGAATTTTAGTACCCAATCTTAATAGTTAGATGAATAAAGAGGTAGATAAAAAAATTCATTGATAGAAGATACATTGACCAGTGTGGTACCCTAGGGGGCACCTACATCACTCATACAAAATAAAGATGGGTTAGTATGCATGTGTATGGAGCAAACTAAATAATGTTGCGATCATAGGTTGACAAAAGGAGAGGATGGTTGATCATATATGCCAATTGTTCTTATTTGGTTCCTTTGCATAGAAAAGGGTTGGAGCACACTCGCTTGTTATATCGTTACAGAAAATCCATTAGTTAGCTAGGACATGCCTAACTTGTTGGGCTGTCTCAGAACCTCATTACTACAGAAGATTATAGGAGACTTCTCCCACACTTGCCCCCAATGTTTGAATTTACTAAGAAAGCTGCTCGATTCTAATGGCCCGAATACTAGTGAGAAAAATTCTCAAGAGTTAAAAGACAACATAGAAAATCATTTGCATATGTTTTAGGTGAGTAAATAAAAACAAGTGAAACTGCACCCAGGAATTAGAACTAGTGGTAGTAGCTTTGTACTTAAGATATGGTGGAGTGTTTATATAGGATGTCTCCCGATTTCAAAGGCTTTTGTTTTCTATACAATAACCATGTTATATATCACTACAAGAAAAACAATCTCTAAGGAAGGGAAATATGGTCCCTGAAAGTCGAAATCTGGTCCCAAACGAGCATTTGAGACCTGAAAAATATGGTCGCCACCCGTCCTAAAAGCTTCCTTCGCTATCGCTCAACAGCGACGGGACAAAAAAACCAATCTCTAAAAGGTTTTGGGACGGGGATCCAATCTCGTCGCGAAACACCTTCAGAGACAGTATTTATGGTCTCAATTAGACCAAATATATTTTGGGAAATACATTTTCTAGGTCAGTAAAACTCATTAGCGACTACCAAAAACTAGTCGTAATAATATTTAGAGACGATATAGATCTGGTCCTAGTAATCTCTAGCGACCATTAAAGAGCTGCCCTTAGAATATCTTTATAGACGAGTAGTATCTGGTCCTAGAAATACATTAGCGACTATCACCAACCTCGTCCTAGAATTGCTTTGGTGACTATCAACAACCCCGTCCTAGAATAGCTTTAGGGACGAGCATCATTTCTTGGTCTAGATTATCCAATAGAGACGTGCAACAAGCCTGGTCGTCATAGATTAACCTTTAGAGATCAGCAATAATTCTTGTCCTGGATTGACCACTAATATACATTACAACAAATATCAAATTGCTACTAAAATTTTTGCTACAAAAAGATGATATATATGTATATATAGAGACAGAGAGAAGAAGATATATGTAAAGAGAGCGATTAATTAGAATAAACTAGTTTACATCCATGATATTAGTTTGAATACTTCCTAACCAAAAAAAAATAGCTAACATCCGAGTTAGACTATGACATCAAGTTTTGCATAAAATTTGTAGCAAACTAATAGTGAGCTCATTCATCTTCTTCTAAACTTGTATCTTGCACTGGAGAATGAACAAAAGCTAGGCAAAAAAAATTAAAGTTCCGATCTTCATCAAGTGTCATCCAGAAACATCAACAAAAGCTGCTAGAAAATAAGAAAAAATCTATTAGAAAACTTTGAGATGCATTAACCGAGAATCCAATATCTAATTTGAAGATTTACAACTTAAATACATAACATTTGTCTCATAATAGAAACAAAGGACTTAATAGCTTTGGAGACGAGTAGGAATGAAAAATAAGCTAGGCAAACACAATTGCTATAAACAAAAAAACAGGGCAGAAATCTCTTGTGTGAAAACATCATCTAGAACTAACTTGACAAAGCATTCACAAATATTTATCAGGCGATTGATGTTCGAGGCTCCACATGAGACCCACTATTATGTCTAGTTATGGATGGCAGCGAAGAGAGGCGTGCAAGAATAGAGCAGTGGAACCGGGAAAAAGAACAAGCAGAACTTGATAACAAGGCTAATGTAGACTAGTAATTACAAAAATGAAAGCAATGAGAATAGATCAGTATTATAATCAGCAATGACAAGAAAGTGCATATGGATAATAGATGAAAACATTGTGCTGGTTGTGGATCCAAGTCAGAAGATATATACCAACAGGTTTGGTTTCACAGGCATTTGCAGGGACAAGAGTTGAATGACTGATCTGTAGCTGGAGACAACAATATTAAAATTCTTAATCCTTTAGTCTATTTTTAGCTTTGAAATACTTTGAAATGAGCAAACATTGATTCTATTCATCCAACAATTATAATTCTAGTTTTCATACCATATGAGCACTGAAACTCAAAAAATATACTCCTGAAATGACCGAATATCATTTAAACCAGTACAATAGTGAAGCTTATTTATCATGTTTAGTTTGGTTGTTACCTATATATGTACTCCGAGAATCACGTTCTTTGAGCAGAAAGTTCCTTTGTCAAGGAAGGCAAAACCACGACTCACCTCTGTAAGATTTTCCAAAAATTCAACTAAACTGTAGCAATTTATGGTTTACAACCTCCCTTCTAACACGTAGAGAACTGTTGACAACAATCCCAACTTCTAACCTCTTAAAACGTCTCTTAAATGAATCAAGTCCCTCACAAACACAAAACAACAGCTACTACAATCAATTAAGAACAACTCAAAGCAAACTATTACAACTCAAGAACATTATACATAAAACTTTATAGGAGCAAGTTCTTTCATTGTCGTAAAACAGTCCTTGATTATGCAAACTTACTTTTTCTTGAGCTTCCCAACAGTTTCTATCTATAAATATAAGGGATGTGGAACTTCGGAACTAGGTACTGCTAGTTTTCCGTCGTACAGACTATTGTTTGCTATTATGTATGGCAGTGAACTTATATGAGACCTATTTAAGGTTGTGGATGCTTAGTCTGTAACTTCTCTAGAAGAGAATCTTGATGATATCATTTAGGTATTTCATCTTTCACTTGGAAAAAAAAGAAGCCAAACCATTCACAACGAGGATGAGGACATCGTAGAGAGATTGAGGCAGAACTATCATCTCAGGAATAAAATAAAGTCGGGTATAATATTACTTGGTCAGCAGAACAGTTGTCATTCAGTTGAAACAGGCGATATTGTAGGTGGAACATGTGATTGTTGAGCAGCAAATAATTCTTTCATTTTCATTATTTCTTTCATCTCATCTTCTAAGGTAGACAAGTGATCATTCAAGGATTTGTTTTCCGCATTCAAGGATTTGTTTTCTTCATTCAAGAATTTGTTATCATCTCGAGTTGAACGTAGAGCAGACAATAGTTCAGCCTTTGAAGAAGATCCACCTTTCAAATCTTTCGGCTTTACTCCACCCCCAAATCCAAATACATGGCTACGAGTTTGTGGTCCACAACATATTTCAACAATCTCTATACTAGATAGAGATGGATCTTCTTGAACCATTTCCTCATGTTGAGCCTACAAAATATATAAAAGGACATTTTCTATCAAAACACTTAACAATTTCAAGAGATTAACTTATTCAATTTACCAAACGTACATGTTTTTCAATTGCTTCAGGTTCAACAAGCTTGTTATCTTTCTTACGAGTCTCAAAGAAAATAGACGCCAAATCTGGTGGATTGCCATCTTTCCCACCCTTTACATCAAAGTCAAACATGTCAAATAACGACACAAACCTCGTAAATACTCCATCAAGGAAAATAGTTTTTTAACAATACCTTTTGATAAATAGTCTCTCGAATAGGTTTGCTACCAATATGATGAAGCATCTTTAACTTAGATCGGTTTGTTGCATTTCTGATGCTTCTTGCCTGTATTTGTGAAACAATAAGCTTAATTAGAATAATTATAACAAAATTATTAAAACATAAGGAATTTCATGCCTTAACAAACTTCTAGGTTGTTTCCTAGTCATAGACTTAACCAATATACATACCTAAAAACTTTCAGAAGTAAAATATTCCTTTACTAACCATTCCCATTCTTTTTTGTCTACTCCCCTTGGGATATTCTTGAGAGATTATTGAATGGGCTTATCCTTCATATATTTTGCATGCAAGTATCCTCTCCATTTGTTCCATAACTCATTCATCCATCCCAAGAGATGATCACGATGATCATTCATGTCAACAGCCTCAAATTTGTGCTACAAAAATCGGGACAGGAATTTTCGTTAGATGTAGTTCTTTTACTATCCTCATTCATTTAGGATGTTAGTTGTGTAAAATTAAGGATTACTAGTCTCACTTTTTAGAACACTCCTCATTTAACTTTTAAGCATAAATAGAGTGGACTAACAGGGTATGAGCAAGGGAAACTACAGTTTAAATACTTGGGTATCCTTATATCAGCAAAGAGGCTCTCTTCAATTGATTGTGAAGATTTGATTAACAAGATGAGTAGTAGAGTGAACACATGGGGTTCTAAAAACCTGTCTTATGCAGGTCGAGTACAACATGTAAACTCACTCCTAATTAGAGTACACTCTTAGTGGTCTGCTGTGCTGATATTGCCCAAGAGAGTAATGTAATGTTACTGTTGCTTTTGTGAATATGGATGTAATGTTACTGAGCATAACAGAGAAAGCAATACAAAGCAGAGAAGAAGAATTACAAAACTGAAAGAAAAAATCAGATCAAAGATTATATTGCAAAAAAGAAAAAAAACAAAACAGGGGAAATTGCAAAACAAAGTTTTTTCCCGCTGTTACTGAAGTCTCGCTTTTCGCTTCTAGGACTAAAGCGCTCGTAGAACAATAACACATTTGTTGGATCAATATTACAGGCAAATCCTTGTCACCTTGAAAATATTATTAGATAGAGGTACCAATACCATGGCACTTTTCTATTCGATATCTCGAGTAAATAAGATTTCAGTAACACATGAGAATGGTGTGAAACTTATGTTAATGAAAGATTTGAATGAAGTTTAAATTTGTTACCTCAACAGCTGCCCACATGTGATTTAACTTCTCTTGCTTAATATACATCCAAGAGGTTACTACCAACGGACATATATTACGGTCACGAACAATTTTTCCCAAATGCCTCGAAAACAATTTGCTATTTGTTCCAACAGTTCGATTATTGTAAAATGTTACTTTCAGCTTTTCTCCATTTTCAAGTGAAGCAACTTCTTTGCACATGTTGCTCCCTCGAATCTTCTTACCTTTGTAGGATTTGATGAACCTACGGTGCATAATTTAGCAAAAACTATAGAAATCAAATTTAGGTTTACAAATTAATGAGATATTTCTTAAAAATATGGTACCTTTTTCAGTTGTTTGAGAATGTTCCATAACTTGATCAATTGATGGAGGCAATGAAAGATTAGTTTGCATATCCTCTTTCTCAAGAATCGATTTATCCATTCTTTGCATTTCTTGACTAGACGACATGGTCGAATTTGCTCTTGTGCTTATAGAAGGAGTTTTAATATGCTGATTAGCATAAAGAGCACTCTTGTTGATACATCCCACCTCAGATTCAGAAGTCATGTAGTTGTTATATTTCATTCCCATTCCTTGACTAGTACATAAAGTAGAGCTTTTAAGTCCTTGTCTGCGCCCCTTCCCTGTAGAACCTGGAGAAATCACATCATATTACCAATACTTTAGCATAGTGTTTCAGCCTTGACATAGGAATACAAAGTAGAGAAAAAAATGGATGCAGCCATGAAATAGGAAAAATCTGTGACATTTATAAAAGTAAGATAGTGTTACTACTAATTTTATTGTGCACATAAGCTGGAGGTGTGAAAATATGAATACATGTTTCAGCATATCAAGCATGTTTCATCCTCTTTTTTAACTAGAAGAAGTTTAAGACTGATCGAAGTTGTGGTTGCTCTTTGGGAAGCTACGATGTGCTACATCTGGAAAGTAAGGAACTGAAAATAGTTCAAAGATATTACAGACAAACTTGGAACTTTTATTTGAAAACATAGAAGATTTTCAAAAATCTTACTTGTCTCGACTTCTTGGGTGTATTGCTTACCTAGATTAGTCGATGCATGAGCTGAAGGGTTAATTTGCTTGTTCTCTTTCTCAAGATCGATGGAGTTCTTAGGTATCGTTATCATTCCTTGACTAGTAAACAAAGTAGAGTTTGTAAATCTTTGTCTTCGACCCTTCCCTACATAACATGGAGAAAACAAATCATATAATTAATACTTTAGAATATTTCTTTTGAGAGCGAGAAGCTGTAAGAAATAACAACAGCTCAAAGAGAAGATTAGATTTTGAGACAAAAAAAAACAGAGCATTATATAAAAAAATATAACAAGGGCTCACTTTTCACTATCGACTCGCTTGAGGGCAGAAAAGTGATAAAAGTATGATACATTTTAACGAGTCCCAAGACCAAGAACAGTTTCCAAGAAAATACAAATGGAATGTACACACAAGATACTTGGAAATTTTATTTCAAACATAGCAGATTTTCAAAAATCTTACTTGTCTCGAATTCTTGGGTGTATTGCTTACCTAGATTAGTCGATGCATGAGCTGAACGGTTAATTTTCTTTTTCTCTTCCTCAAGATCGATGGAGTTCTTAGGTATCATTGTCATTCCTTGACTTGTTAACACAGTAGAGTTTGTAAGTCTTTGCCCTCGACCCTTCCCTACATAACATGGAGAAAACAAATCATATTATTAATACTTTAGAATATTCCTTTTGAGAGCAAGAAGCTGTAAGAAATAACAACGGCTACATAATATGAGCTATTAATATCAATTTTGAACAGTTTATTTAAAATATCTTACTTGTTTCAATTTCTTGCATGTACTCATTAACCAGATCACTAGATTGAGACACAAAACTCTTAGTTGACAAGTCTCTTCTCTCAGCCAAAGATTTAAGCCCTCGTCCTCGTCCCTTTCCAATAGCACCAGGCGTGACAAATGTATATCTAATAGTACTCTTCATAGATGAGTCAGCCTCTTTTTCAGTCTTCAATGGTTTCATCTTGAACCTGCAAAACGAGCCAAATATAAAAAGTAATAAGAAAAAATTTAAGACAATGTAGGAATAAAAGAAATCATGTCATCGTACAGTGTAACAATGAATATATTAATTCATAAAAATATACTTCACCTCATTAGTTCTTTTACGTTTCTTTTGTTATGGACTTCCTAACTCTACAATATCATCATCCATTTGTTCCACAATCTCATAGGAATCACGAGGTTGAGTCTTCCTCACTACTTGCCAACCTTTGTTGGAATTATCATTAGCATAAAACACTTGAGATGCTTGGTCCGCTAAAACAAATGGCATTTGTTTTCAAGAATCTATCAGGATTAACACTCACGAAATCATACTCATCTTTCTTAACTCCTTTTATTTCATCACACATATCAAACCAATTACAACGAAATAAAACCACTCTTCTATCCATGACGAATTGCAACACAATCACATCTGTTAAAACTCCATAGTAATCAAGGTTCTCACTATCTTTATCATTCTCACCCAATACAACGACACCACAATTTTGAGTCCTTACGTTTTTATCATAATCTTCTACATGAAATCTATATCCATTAACAATGTAACCATTAGAATGCGTCTAATATCGTGTAGGAACGCGTGAAAGCGAGAGCAGATCTTCCATGATACGACTACAATCTCCTTTATGCAATTGTGCAACCTATCATCAAGATTAGGATGATTACTTTATAATGAGTATTACAATATTAAAATTTAAACTTTTATGTTTATGTATTACTCACCCTATCTTTAAACCATTCAATAAATAGTCGATTCCATTCTACATCAGACAGGTGGCGAGCATTTTCATGAGTTTGTGCAAATTCTCTACAAAATTGAAGTGAACCATAAATTTCATATAAAAAATAAATAATCCTACGGAAATAATAATGAGAAGTTATGAAATAATTCTCCATACTCGAGATATGGTAAAAATTCATCACAATTCTTCAATATGTATATGTGTGCTTGTTCTAATTCATCTGCTTCAAGCTCAAATGGAGTTTTAGCTCCCAGAGTTTTTCCGGGTTGACATAATAGTGATAAACCTCCATTAGATTGCTTTAAACCCCCATCATAATTTCTTTCAGGTTGATTAAATTTTGTGTCAATTCTATGTAGATACCTTGAACATAAGGTCATACATTCATTTGCAATGTACCCCTCTGCAATACAACCTTCCGGACATGCCCTATTATCGATGAAAGATTTTAGAAAATATAGCCATCGTTCCACAGGATACATCCATCGATAATGAATCGGTCCAGCAATCTTAGCTTCAGTAGCTAAATGAATAGGTAAGTGAACCATGACATCAAAAAATGAAGGAGGAAAGATCTTTTCTAACTTGCAAAGTGTAATGGGAATTTGAGCTTCAATATGTTTCAAGTTATCAATTCTCAACTCCTTTGATCCAAGAATACAAAAAATCAAAGATGACTCAATAAGAGGTTCACACACTTCTTTGGACAACATACCAGGAAGTGCAAGAGGGAGTAGATGTTGCAGTAGAACATGACAATCATGACTTTTCAACTCAAATATCCTGTGATCTTTCAGGTTCACACATTGAGAAATATTAGATGAAAATCCATCAGGAACCTTTAGATTCTTTAGGAAAAGGCATAACTTGTGCTTATCTTCGGGAGACAATGTGTAGCATGCAGTTGGAACTTCAATTTTCTCCCCTTTTTGGATAGGGTGCAATTCTGGCCTAATGTTCATTTCTTGCAAATCTAACCAAGTTTTAATTGTGTCCTTGGTCTTTCCTTTGACATTCATGATTGTCCCCATAATATTATCACATATATTTTTTTCAATATGCATTACATCCAAATTATGTCGCAACAAGAGACTCTTCCAATATGGAAGTTCAAAAAAGATACTTTTTTTGTTCCAATTATCCTTTCGATTTTCATGTGATATCTTCTTCCTTTTCTTTGGATCCTTTGATAATTGTAGCCCTTCAAGATCCTGCACTTGATTTAAGTATCTCAATACCAGAATGCATTTGTGGCGGGGGTCATCTCTCCTCTGTACCATCAAATGACTTCTTCTCATTCCTCCATTTGTGATTATGAGGAAGGTAACGGCGAGCAACCTGCCCAAAGGGCGAGTGAAACGACCCCAAAAATTCCCGAAAATGTGCTTCGG